CTCAGCCTTCCAGTACTACTAATACCCACTACTACCACCAACCCACTGCTACCCTATAAATTGCTGTCATTGACGTCGTTTCGATATTCGTCGCACCTTTTATGAACGCATCCCCCCCCCCCCAGGTTCATAATGCAATGTGCAAACCGTTGCGCCACCACTCCACCCTACATTCCCATATCTACTCAACTCCCTTATCAGTTCGGGCATTATCTACATTTGTTTCAGTACAATTCGCTGAAAAGACACTAAAACTTATTTTAAGATCTTATTCGCAACTAGTGCAACTACCTTCCCACGTGAAATCACGAGTGGCTGCTCTTGCTACATGGCTCGTAACATGAGGGTTACCAAATGGTGTTGCTCTGAGCCAATAACGCTGCTGATGAGATCAAATAAAGTAAAAATCAGTCCAAGGTTGCATATATAAATATAAACGACTGGACGGTTGACCATCCACGCACTGCACGGGCTCAAGACAACTGGTCAAGATTCTGATCTGTATGCTGAACTTCTTTCGCACCATACGCAAGCCAACAACGCTAATCGGAGGTGTTTAGACGCACTCTGGGTGATTTAGTCATGAGCATATCCACCTTATTTGTAAAGAATTACACAAGCACATCCTACCTCCCCTTGCCTCCCTCCTAAGAGACGACGAATCTTGATGGATTCTGACCCAGTAGAACAAAGGTAAGGGTACAGCGCCCCCCGCCCCCCTCCAAGAGGGTATTTTGCCGTGCTCTTCCACGCTGACCAGACGTCTTGGAAGGGGTGGGCGAACCCACACTTTAACCCACCACCACATACAACCTGCCCATCAACTGCGGTGCAATCAATTAATACCGCAGGGGGGACAACAGAGGCAAGGAGGGGAAAACTCAAGAAAAAGTTTGAGTCACCTGCTGTGCCTGGAGATTGAATCGAAACGATGACACCTGGAATTGCAGTTCCGATATGCTAACCATCACTCCGCAGTGGCGAGATGTTAACTACTTCGCCTGGTCTGCAGGAAGTCGTGGGTTCGATCCAGACCCCGACGTCTGTACATTTGGAGTTTGCGCGTCTCTCTCTCCCTGTTGTGGAGTGGATCTTTCTCCGGGGTCCTCCGGTTTTTCCCCTCCACATTTAGAATTGACGTTCGTTTAGAGTATTGGGCCGCTTCCAATTGACGCGTGATAAGTCACTTAATTTGCAATGGCCAGGTCGCTTCTGAAAAAGACCTCAGTGGGGCCTTACCGGTCAAATAAAAATACAGTAGTTCATAATTTCACTCCACGGAAGCAACAAAAGGACACGGCTTTTACCGTGACCTGCCATCGCTAAGCCCACAATTGCTAATGCAGCTTATTCGTCGTGTATGCACCCCAGGGGGGCCCTCAACGTCCACGTGATCTGCCGGAGCCCAATTATCCTGGGAAAACGTTCGCTCGCTGGCTGGCTCACCGGCTGGCTCGGTCGCGTCAAGTTCAAGCGTCGTCACACGGGTCGCCGGTTCGCTGGGGCGCTCCCTCTGCAATTCGCGGACTTTGGGACAAATCGTAAACGGCGAGCAAAGTACTGCGCAGCAAAACTGGGCGCCGCGATTTATCACCCCCCCGCCCCGTACCCTGCACAACAATTGCGATCCAATAAATTCTTGCCATTCAAGGTTTTGCAGGTCGGTTAAATAATCGGTTACTTTGTCGGCGATGCGATTTCCCTCCCAAATTTGAAACCGGCCGAGCCATCGGCTGTCACGTCGCGAAACGAAGAATCCATTCTTCAGACGCGAAAAAAGTTGGATGCATGTACGTATACTCGGAACTCTCGCAGAGTAGCGTCAGCTCTTCGCGTTGAACAACAGCCCGCGGAAGAGGATATGCCGGAGCTACCTCCGACATCTCTCCCTGTTACCTCTGGACCACACACCGAACACTTTCCCACTCAATCTGCATCCGAGAATTTCTCTTTTGTTTTAAACATTGTCGGGAATATAGCAGTTTGCAGTGGCGGGACAGGTCAAAAACACCCGATTATGTAAACATAACGATTGTAAAACAGCAATTGCGCATGCGCGAATCGATGTGTGAATAGCAAACCAGAAGAATCCGTGGTGCTGGCCGTATTATTTATTATTCATGTCAACTGGGTAGAGGAGAGCAGGTTGCAGCGGACGTGACATGGCTAGAAGGCTTGATGATGGACGGTCAAGACTACTGACAAGGTGGTAGCCAAGAGGGATGACACATCTGAGAGGACGTCTACCAGAGGAGATGGAGCGATTTGAATCAGCTGGGTGGAAATGTTACATCAAAGAATCATCAGAATCTTTATTTATACTCGAGGAACCTGATGAGCTATGAGGCTCTTTTCACAAGATGTCCAGTATAGCGAGCGGTAGAAGTGGCTTGGGGGAGGCCTTCATCCAGCAGCGAATTGACCGTGGCCGATGAGAATGACGAGTTGGCAGGAAGGGCTCCAAGTTGCCATTGCTACAGTGCTTAGTCAGCAAAGGCACTGGAATCTTTGCGTTTGAATATGGGCAGCCACCCGTGACTAAACCAGGTTGTCATGTTCAGCAAGTTCTATGGTCACAGACCCTCGTCAGAAATGGCTGCACACCCAAAAAAAAACCGCATTATTTTGGTTTTTGCATTGAATTTGTACCAGTCCGCCGCCTAGAGGGTGGCATGGCCACACACATAATGGTGATTATTTACCCCCAAGGAAAGCCTCAAAGAGTCTCAAGATTTATTTCAAGAGGGCACTGCTAGATTGAAATCGTTTGGCCAAATCCATAAGCGTTTTTAGCTTTTGTGTGCACGAGGAAAGCGGAGGACCCTCACCTCGTAAAGGACACTCAAAGTTCCACACAGATGGATTAAATAATCCACTGTCCTTCATAGAGGTTTTTTGGGTTAGATCGCGCAAATATAAGTGTCGTTAAACCCGCCACCACCCGACACAGCCAATTAGTAAGGTTTGTCACTAAACATGCAAATTCGTTACTAGTTCCGCAAACTGGTGTGTTGGAAAGTAAACCCACAAAATGATGATGCTGGTTGTAATTCCAACCAGCATCATAAGGCGACAGCCAGAGTTGTGGAGAAATCCTCCTCTTTCGGTCTTAGATAGAGGAATAAATGTCCCACTTTAGTATCCGGACAATCTCGCTGCCCACATCCACACGACACAAGCTGGGATTGCCAAGCGATTCACCCATGCAAGCACTGACCGGGCTCAAAAAAAAATCTGCCGAGCTTGCCCGAGGTCCGACAGTCTGGACACATTCAGGGCAACTTGGTTGTAAAGCCTCTAAACAGTGAACGGATGAATAATGCACTCCGAAGTAGACTTCGCAAGCAGGCTGTATGTGCGGTAGGAACGATGGTTACGCTACTGCTATGAATATTTCAGGATGGGCCGCCCGTGTGTTGTTCAAAGTGGTTGCGCCGATGTTTCACTTTAGATGCCGGTAGCTTTTTCAGGAACCGAGCTTTTGGGACGAAACGTCAGACAACCGTAGTGGTACGCACGCAATAACAACCCCAAGACACAGAGAGCTGGTGACAGCCTTTGATTGAGATTGCACCAGGGGGGATATTTTTTCCACGAAAACAACCAACACCTCCTCCCTCCACCGACTGGACTTTCAGGAAATCAAAAAGACAAATCGCCGCAAATCCTTGACGTCTGGGACATATTTGACATTATGGGAGACGACAAATAATCATAATTATCATCATGTGCTGTACAGAGAGACACCTTTGTCAAAAACACTTGAAATCGATTCCAACTTTAACAGCGCTGTTTGTTTCTGGCCGGTCTGTCGTTTCGGGGACATGCTCGGCAACTGTGCAGCAACAACGCTGCAAATAATGAAGATAGTGGTCAGTTGCCGAGGGTAGTTTGACCATACTTCACCACGCCTGTTCCACGTTAGGGGAAAAAAAACCAAGGTGCTGTTAGAAACCAGTCAATGTGACTGCAGACACGGTGTGTTTGTGAGGTCGTTTTAACGAGTGTTTCATTCATGTCCGCATACCTGCATACCTTTCAACCCGTACGGTTTACCCGTATTGTTGCACATGGAAATTGAGTTTTCAGGTCCACATGGCGTACATCCGTTTCAATACGGGCAAACACATTTGTGTCCATTTGTTTGTGTTTCTCCCTTGCGACGGGACTTTGTAAGATGAACGTTGACATATGTATAAGGTGATGGTGTGACTAAAAGGGGTGTGAATTAGTCCGAAATAAGTTAGAACTTCTTTCGCACTGTACCAGGCGCTGCACAATCGATGTCAATACCGTTTAACAATCCACTGATGGACGAAGGCCTCAGATGCTGTGGAGTCGTTTCTCTGTCAATCCACTGCTGGATGTAGGCCATCAGATGCTACACTGTGTAAGTGGTTACTGTCAATCCACTGCTGGATGAGGCCCTCAGATGCTACACTGTGTGTAAGTGGTTACTGTCAATCCACTGCTGGATGAGGCCCTCAGATGCTACACTGTGTGTAAGTGCTTCCTGTCAATCCACTGCTGAATGTAGGCCCTCAGATGCTTAATTGTATGGAGTGGTTACTCTTGTCAATCCACTGCTGGATGTAGGCCTCAGGTGCTACACTTTGTGGAGTGGTTCATCTGTCAATGCACTGCTGGATGAATGCCTTTGTACCATACTTCACTCAAGACTACAACAACTCACAACAACGACCGGTAGGGCCTTTTTTTTAAATCATCACCATCATCATCATTCGTCCATACCTTCACCGCAAGTTCATAACTCACCCCCAACACCCCAAACTCGAGCGGCGGTCGCCTGAGAAGTCTCTCCACACACTCCGCTCCACTAAAGCCAGTCGAGTCGGAACCACGGATTTCACTTTCCATCGAAGTGACGAGCGAGCCCACCGATAACCAACACCACCAACACCAGCAGCAGCATCCACCACACTCACACCACACACACACACCACCACCCCCACCGTCCCCAGCCGCCAAAGCAAACTCACCTCGTTGGGCAGACTGATCTCGAACAGGTCGAGTCTGTTTTCGTTCCAGTGGTTGATGATTTCCCTCAGCTTGCGTCTCTCCTCCTCCATTGCCATCCTTACACGCGAGGCCCCCCCTCTCCTCTCGCCTCAACTGCGTGGGCCTGGGGCTACTGCCCCCCCACCACGCCGCCGCCTCGCGATGATGCCGAGAAGCAATGGGTTCTGGGTGTGTTGGGGGACGGGAGGGAGCAGCCTTCGGCCGATCCCAAGCCGCACAAGACAATCGACTTCAAACTCCCTCCTGATTCCTTCCCTTCGCCTCCTTCCTCAGACACCGACCACCACCACCCCCCGCCGCCGCCGCCACCCCGAAACGATTCACGGGCTAATGTTTACACCGACCGAACAACGATATGGCAACGTGATATATATGTATTTAAAAAAAAAATTATATATAATTTTGACCGCGACCTTTATTATTTTCCCCTCAGCCTGCTTTGCTTTGCCCTACCCCCCGCCCGCCACCACACACAGCACGCGGGCCCAAAATGTCCGCGCGCGCGCGAGGCGCCCCCCCCCCCCCCGCCGCCGCTGCCGCCACCCCCCGCCCGTCCGACGCCCGCCCGCCGCCAACCCCCGCCCGCCCGCCCGCCGCTGCCGCCGCCGCCACCGACGACGCCGCAAACCGCCCGAGCGCGCGCGCGGCTCCGAACGAGCGAACGACGACGACGACGCCGCCAACCAAACCGCCGACGCCGCCGGAAGGAACCCCCGGGACCTTCCTAACACCCCCCACCCCACCTATCACCACCACCACCCTCAACCACTCGGCCCTCACCCCTCCCAACGGACTCCAAATATGGGCATGTGGGTGGGGATTCGGACGTTAAAGGCGGGGGGAAATCGGCGCTGGGGGGAGGGGTGGGGGAATGAACGATTTAATTTCGCCCCCTTAGCACGCCCATCCCCGTCAACGGGCCAATCGGAGAAGGTGTTTTGTTTAAGTTAAGCCCCCCCATCCAATGGGGGTGGGGCTTTGTTAAGCTCCTCCCTCAAAATGGGGCGGGTGGATATTTTATAAAGCTCCTCCCTCAAGAGAGTAGGAAGGGCTTCAATGGAAGCTTTGGGATCAGGGTGGAGTTTAAACTAAACGATGTACATATAAGTTAAAACTAAACAACGTACATGTAAGTTTAAACTAAAGAATGTACATATACGGTTAAACTAAACAATGTACATATAAATTTCGATTTAAAGCTTTCGTGACTGCAAGGATTCTTCTTCTTTGGTTCTTTCGGTAAAGTCACGTAGAATGAGAATAAAATAATAAAATAAAACAATAAAATTCTCACGACGTTTCGGCCACAACACAAGTGGCCTTCTTCAGGTGAAAGGCACATTCTACGTGACTTTACCGAAATAAAATGTACATATACGTTTAAACTAAACAACGTATATATAAGTTTAAACTAAACAATGTACATATACGTTTAAACTAAACAATGTACGTATCATACTCTTTGATTTTATTCGGTAAAGTCACGTAGATAAAATGAAACGAAATAAAAGAAACGAAAATAGTTAAATCACGACGTTTCGGAGGCAACACAAGCTTCCGTCTTCAGGTGGAATAGTCACAGCAAAAGATCTGTGTAGAGTACAGAGCTCTGAGACGATCGGGTTTATATATAGGTTAAGGGGGGGGGAGGAGTCAGAAAGGGGGCGTGGGTGGGTGGGAGGGCTCAGTCAAGAGTGGAAGGCTGTGGTGGACTACCAACAACTGCGGAGGTTAAGGGGTGGGGGAGGAGTCAGAAAGGGGGCGTGGGTGGGTGGGCTGAGACAAAAGTGACTCCTCCCCTCTCCCTTAACCTCTCTTAACCTGCACAGTTGTTGGTAGTCCACCACAGCCTTCCACTTTTGACTCAGCCCTCACACCCACCCACGCCCCCTTTCTGACTCCTCCCCCCGTTAACCTCCGCAGTTGTTGGTAGTCCACCACAGCCTTCCACTCTTGACTCAACCCTCCCACCCACGCCCCCTTTCTGACTCCTCCCCCCGTTAACCTCCGCAGTTGTTGGTAGTCCACCACAGCCTTCCACTCTTGACTCAGCCCTCCCACCCACTCACGCCCCCTTTCTGACTCCTCCCCCCGTTAACCTCCGCAGTTGTTGGTAGTCCACCACAGCCTTCCACTCTTGACTCAGCCCTCCCACCCACGCCCCCTTTCTGACTCCTCCCCCCCCTTAACCAACATATAAACCCGATTGTCTCAGAGCTGTGTACTCTACACAGATCTTTAGCTGTGACTATTCCACCTGAAGACGGAAGCTTGTGTTGCCTCCGAAACGTCGTTATTTAATTATTTTCGTTTCTTTTATTTTGTTTTATTTTATCTACGTGACTTTACCGAATAAAACCAAAGAGTATGAATCCTTGCAGTCACGAAAGCTTCAAATCTAGAATGTACATATCAGTTTAAACTAAACTATGTACATATAAGAATAGGTTTTACCCTTTCTAGAAAAAAAAACAGGTGTTAAGATGTTAAAACACTAAACAGAAACCTTTGCAAGGAATCATATCTGCATTAACCACAGAAACTTGTGATGAACATGCAAACAAAAAACGTGGTCTGGTCGTATTTGACTTGTTCACCACAAGTGTTGTGACGATATATCCACCACTAGGGGGATAGAGCGCTGAACATGGTGAAGGAATGGCGCGGAGATGATCGAGGGTCGAGTGTAATGACGGCATATCCGCCACTAGGGGGATAGAGCGCGCAACAGGATAAAAGGGGAACGCGGAAATGATTGAGGGTCGATTGAGTGAGTAACGTTCGGTGGGTCAGGTCACGTCGTCGGGTCGTGGAGCTGCAATAGCCTCGTGTATCGGGGGGTTACGTGGTGACAAGGACGTCTACACCAATTATAGAACCAGCTCCGAATAGGTCCTGATTAAAGGAAGTGTTAATAAACGGATTGCCTCCAACCACGTAGTGTGTGTCTTCATTTAAGAGTACTACAACTGATGTCAGGAGTTATAACAGTTGGTGATAGCGTAGTTCATGTTAAGAAGGAGGAAGCAACTTCCAAGGTCGTCCTCGGAGGAGTACGACCACGACAATGGGGCTCCCCCACAATCGACCCCAGGTGCTCAGGACCCTGAGATGGAGCAGGACGCTGTTATGCCGCCCACGCAGGGAGAAGGTCGAAATCTCACCACATCGCCACCTCCAAGGAGTGAGCGCCGGACCAAGAAAGACATTGTGGGAGACCTCCTGGCCGCCGTCACTACCTTAGCCACCGTTATACAGCAGGAGGACGATGAGAGGACGCCCATCCAATGACCCGGGGATCTTCCACCGCTGCCATTTCCCGCGCGCGGGAAACCCAAGGGACGCAAGCAGCGCAAGCGCCTGACAATTTGGACAGCGGGCAGGAAACGCTTCCCGCCCAATTTCAAATTTCGCCAAAAGTGCTACCCCAGGACTGTGGACTCAAGAAGAGGCTACCATTTGTCAATGGTAATTGAACGACGAAGCTCTGTCAGCGTTCGACGCTATTCCCGAAGAGGACAAGCCCTCTCTGTCCCAAACTCTGCCTCAGATGGCGCTAATCTACGCTCCCGAGTCGCACAAGCACCAGAAGTTCGCCACACGGAGGCGGGGGGAGGCCGAGACGCCTTTCGCAGCGCGCTTCTGGCGCTAGCGAAGTCAGCCTACCCCGGGATGGACCGGGTCGGCAGGGACTCACTGGTCCTGGAAAAGATGCTCCAGCTTGCCCGGGAACTTACGGGTTGTGCTGCGCGGTGCCTGGAGGCACATTTCAGCATTCAGCGATGATCCGACGTGGCTGCAGGCGTCCTAACCACTCCGGAGGGTAGAGCGGCTGAAGATGGAGCATCGCCAAGAGCCTGCGCTTCCTTCTCCGGGGGTAGGGGAAGGAGGGCAGATGCGAGACCACACAGCAACCGAGGACGCCCAATGGAGCCTTCCTCCAGACAGAGGAACGAGCCGGTAGTGTGCTTTAAATGCAGCCTGCCGGGACACCTCTCCATCGGCTGCCGCACTCCACGGGCAAGACCTCCCACGTCGCCGCCGTACTACAATCGCCCGTTCTTCTCTCATTGGGGCCCTCAGGCAAGTCGCGGTGCACCTCACACACAGCCCACACATCTACCTCATGCATCGAGTTCGAAATCGCGAGTCGCCGGTGCGAGTCCGGGTGCGTCGTGGGTGAGACGCATTGAAGGTTGGCCGCGGCGTCCCACGCAATTGCACGCCTTGGGTCGCCATGTTATTGCTGCTGCAGCAGCAGGGTCGTCTGCTGTCGTTGGGACTATCGATGGGATTGAGGTACGGGTACTTGTGGATACCGGTACATTGGCGACAATCATTTCCGAGATTATTTATGGCAGTTTGCCGCCAAAATCTCGTGCCATTTTGCCTGTTGATATCCCGTGTTTTGCCGCAAACGATCAATCATCGGGGATTATTGGCCAGTTAATAGCGACAGTATGCATCGGCGACATTAGCTTGACGGGCCCAGTGGCTGTACCTTGCCTATTGGGAACGGATTTTCTAGCCAAAATGCCCCTGAAGATCCTTATCGATCAAGGCTGCATAGAATTACCTTCGGGTCGCCGAATGGCATTTTTGACATTGCCAAATTTCTTCCGCACGGCAAATACATCAGTTCTGGCGATGACCACCCGTACTGTTAAAATTCCCCCCCGGCGCACAGATGCTAATTCCCTTGCGCTTAAAGAAACAACTTGATAGGTAACATTCCAAGGAAGCGATGTTGTTGGTTCCCTCCAACAAGGCTGCTCAGGGTGAAGCCTTACTCTTTGTGCAGACCTTGGTGGCAAATAATCAAGAACCGTTTATCCAAGTTTAAAACACGAGTTTTGTCACGTCAGTCATTCAAGAGGGCGCTGTCCTGGCTCATGCGTCGCCTGCTTGTTGCGATAGTGAAATTGGCGGGAATGTGGCCATCGCATCGGCTGCGGGGCAGACTAAGCAAGGTGATGTGGTAAGGCTTGATGCGCTCTGCGCGGAGAGCAACGATTTATCAACAGAACAGAGGCTTGAATTGCGTGTGCTTCTGGAGGAGTTTGTCGAAGCTTTCAGTAAAACTAAATTTGATATTAGCCGCAAGCCCCTGTTACACCAGCATATAAACCCGTACAGATTAAGCCCAAAAGAGAAGCACCATGTGCGCTGTGCAGCTGACGAGATGTTGGCCGCCGATATTGTTTCCCCGTCCAACAGCCTGTGGGGGGCCCCCATTGTGCTCGTCAAAAAGCAGGATGGGAGTGTGCGCTTTTGTGTTGATTTTCGGAAGCTTAACAGAGTTTCTGTAGCAGATGCGTACCCGCTCCCGCGGATGGATGACTCGTTAGACACTTTGTCGGGGGTGAAGTTTTTCTCCACCCTTGATTTACTATCGGGGTTTTGGCAGTTGCCTCTCGACGACAGCTCCAAACCTAAGACCGTGTTCTGCACACCACAAGGCTTTTTCAAATTCAACCGGCTTCCGATGGGTCTTAA